GATGAGGGCCAATAGCCCGAAATAGCTATCTCACGGTATGCCATGTCTATGCTGGAATACTCCTATATTCCTATTTTGTCTACCTTTATAAACTTTTTTTAGCTAGTCTAATGTTCAGGAACAAAGGCGTGCCATAATTAAAATCTGCAATTGTGCAACTATTGGGAAATAAAGAAACTAAAAATAGCTAACTAAAACTACAATCAACTAACTAAAAACAATGAACTAAAGTAAGCTGAGCAAACCTAACTAAAAATAATTTTAAACTAAAGTGCAATTCTTTTATTTATAGTTCCTTTCATTTTTATTGCCCACATTGGATACTCTTTAGTACACCCGGTCCTGTATTACAGAAGGATGGGCCATCCGCGCGCTGATCTGGGACCCAATGTAGGATTCTACCCAAGGCAGAGGCTAGTCGGAAGCTTACCCAGTTCGAGCAAAATTTGCCCAATAGGCCATCACAGTTGCGCTCAGTCCTGCCTCGGCCTCAGTGTACTTATAAAAGTCGCGCTTAAACTGTTCAGAAAATGGCATCCCGAAGATGTAGTCGATTTGATAGCCGTGCATTGCGCCCGTCCAGTCCGGAAACCCGTTCTCGCGCGTTTTGTGCACAAAATTGTAGGCGTACACCGCGGTATTGGGCAGCTGCGCAATGCGTTGGGCAAATTTCTGCGTTCCACAGGTGAACTCAATGTCGCCGGAGATGGCATCCATGCGATGCATGAACGCGCTCGAATTGGCCACCTCGGAGTCGGTATCTTTTATCTCGTAGGCGTCTGCCATGCTACTTCTGACTATGTCGTGGATGATATTGTCCAGGTTCTGTTCGCTCATAAACTTGCCGGTGAGCAGATCATAGATATTAAAGTTGGCAGCCTTGAGAGTGGCCGCATCTGGCAGGGGGACGGTGCCATTTTCAAGGCGAAATTCCACATTCTTCAGGCCAAGAGCATAGAAGAGCCAGTACATGCCTTCATTGGCCACTGTTCCTATCAACAGCTCGGGTGCTGGTGCTGGTGACGGTGACCCTGCCGATTGGTTGGCGGCCAGTTCAGCGAGAATGGCTTCTGGGCACTTCGGCAGAAAGACACCGTCAATTGTCGGTGCGAGTCCATGGGAGGCATAGATCGCAGGAAATGTGTACACTCTGGGGTCCAGAGGGGGTGCCATTTGGATCAGCCGAGCTGCACGTCGTTTCGCTCTTGCAATAAACATATCATCGGCCTTTGCTGCGAGCACAGCCGGTTGGAGATTTTGAAGGCATTTCACCCGCTTCTCTAGTGATTCCTCCGTACATCCGCAGATCTTGGAAAACTGAAAGCAGAACGAACAAGTATAGTAAAAAATATTAGATTTCAGTAGTAAGGGTGCAACTGTAATTTTCTCTGAATTACACGCCTGACAAAAAGCCATTGAAATAATATCCTTTTGGTAGCCTGCTGTGCTGACTCGTTCTACAGTAGATTACTTATCTGATGAAAGGTTAGGGATGGAGGATTTAGCGTTCACTTGAGGTTGTTTATTTAGTTCATTGGGTTGACATGAGGCGCAAAATGTTGTCTACTAGAATTTAATTCCGTTCAGATCAGAATACTGGGAGAAAATAGAGGCAA